CTTGTAGTTCTTCTTCTAGCTTGGATCTCTTCTTCCTCCCAACCTAGCTAGTGCCTCCTTCACCACCTATACTTCCCAAACAAACCATACAATCTTAGCCTAGAGCCTCAGGGGTTAGATGAAACTAGAAGAGAAATGAAGGCTATGATTGAAGAAGAAGTTGATGAGCTTACTGTGATGTTTTCTCCCTTCTACTTTGGCAAACAAAATGTTTCGAGAGGCAAAGAAAGAGGTCAGGAAACCAACAATGGAATAGTGATGTTTATACAGGGCTCAAAACCCTAGGTAGAAGGCAAATGATTGGATGAGGGCAAAATGGTAAAACCTTGGATAGAAAGTGTTCTCAGCAAAGTTTTCTTAAAATGAAGTGGTTCACCTTGTATCATGGACCAAGGCTAGAAATGCTAAATTTAAATGCTTTGGGGTTGAAAATGAATTTTCTTAAAAAGCTATTTAGATGAACACTTGTTTAAAATCTTTTTGAATTCTCCCGGTCTCACTCAGATAAATTTCTCGATTTAAATCTTGGTATGCGAAGAACCCGAAAACTTAGGAATTTCGAATAAAATCAATTTGGTGTCGAATTAATTTAAAATGTGACAAAAATAATTTATTCAAACACCAATTGATCGCAAATATTTTTAATGGAGTGAAAATGGCTATTTTGGAATTTCTTAATACCGGATTTATAAAATGAAATTTTGGGTTGTTACAGGGCCCTTGTGGCTCTCTACTTCGGGGCCGTCTCGACGCACGTTTTGACTTTGATTTCATTGAGTTTGGAGAAGAAATGAGCATTTTATGCTAAGATTTGTAAGCCTAATTGTTGCAGAGTTAGGTTTGAAGTAATTCACAGTGAATGTGTTTAAGTTATGTGACTTGAGTATTTTATTTTCTAAGCATGTCATTGTTTGATTGTTAAATAGAGAAGGAAGAGCTTAATTAGTTGAGTTTAGCCATCAAAGCATGCCTAAATTGTATACTGTGAGTTGATGAAGTTTACTGCCAAGTTTGTAAGTTTTCAAGCATATCTATGTTGAGTGTATTTTGAGTTTCAAAAGCATGTTAAATACTTGCTAAGTGTTAATGAGAAGAATTGTTGAGTTTCGAGTAGTAAGCATGAATTATTGAATTGTTGAGTTCACAATGAATAGAAGCTAGAAGCATTATTTTACAGTAAATGTCATTTGAAGCATATCATGTTTTAAAATGTGCATAAGTGGCCAATGTGAGCCTAAGTATTATTTTCTAAAATCTCATATCCATGTAGAAATCCTTTATCTTATCATATTGAGATTGAGTTGAGAAGTTATGTGCATTGATGTATAAGAAGAGTATTTGCATGACTTGAGATGCATGAGTGATATATCTATATATATCTATTGTGAGGAAAATGGTATTTTTGGAGGACCCGTTTGGACTATGTCCTTTCGGAGTAAAAGAGAAAGCAACGGACATTGTGATCCGATATCATGTAACGCGGCGTATTCCCACGTTGCGAGGTTGGAAACTGTCCGCCAGGCTTGGAATCCTGGTCAGGGGGTGTGCACACTGATAGTTCGATACCTGATTCCACAGAGTATTAGTATTGGAACCACGAGATTGGTTCTGTGGGCGGGATGAGAGATTGGCCGGCTATACGCCGTACCCAATGGGTTAATTCACACTATGGTGAAACCCGGCCTCGCCCACGAGTAAAGAGAAAGAAAGTGAGTAAAGAGACTCAAGAGAAAGAAAGCGAGTCATTGAGACTCAAAGAAAAGAAAAGCAAAGCAAGTCATTTATGACAACAAGAAACCTCTACAGAAAAGTATTCTTTTTGAAAGAGCGTGAAAGTATATTTATATGTCTTGCAGTAGATTGCATGAGTAGTAGCACGGGATTGCTTATATTATATGTCTTGCACTAGATTGCATGAGTAGTAGCACGCGATTGCTTATATTATATGTCTTGCACTAGATTGCATGAGTAGTAGCACGAGATTGCTTATATATATATGTCTTGCACTAGATTGCATGAGTAGTAGCATGAGATTGCTTTTATTAAATGTCTTGCACTAGATTGCATGAGTAGTAGCACGAGATTGCTTATATTATATGTCTTGCACTAGATTGCATGAGTAGTAGCATGAGATTGCTTATATATATATATATATATATATATATATATATATATATATATATATATATATATATATATATATATATATATATCTTGCACTAGATTGCATGAGTAGTAGCACGAGATTGCTTATTGATATATCTTACACGAGATTGCATGAGTAGTATCTGATGGCATGAGTTGCATATTTGATTTATATGAGAAAGCGTGAGAATATTGCTTATTTGAGAAGCTTTAGATTGTTCATAAGATGAGAATGTGATGAGTTGTTTATGTTTAAGTATGCCTATTTGAGTATTAGGTTGCAAGCATCTAGAAGTTCCGCCAAAGTATGTTAAGTGTTCAAACTTGCTTGAGCAAAGAATGTGGAACCTTGATTTCCAAAGTATATATTGTACTTACTTTACAGGGTAGAGTGGCGTTATACTTAGCCTCATGCTAAAGGGTTTGCTTGTTATTTGTTGTTATTTAACCCCTTTCAGGTGGACCCAGCTCGTGGGTACGAGAGAGAGTTTCGAGTTAGACTAGGTAGTTAGATGACCTCATAGTCTGAACTCATGTTTTGGTTGTAGTATCCTATCTTTTGATGGTGCTGGACAGCAGGGTTTTATTCCCCTAGATTCTTGGATATTAGTTTGACTTGTTATTGCTTAATTTTTACCCTTAGCCTGTGCAATCACCGAGGGGCTGTTTTGGCGGTGACACTCCTTAGATTTGTTATTTAAGTTTATTTCCACTGTGTAGTTTATCTTTAAAAGGTTTAGTTTGTTAAGTAAGTTTAAGAAAAAGAGGGTGTTACAAGTTGGTATCAGAGCCTTACGAACCGCGGGAGAGTTAGGAAGTTTGACCCTTAAGATTGAGTATAGAGACTCTAAGTGAAAGTCCTAGGAAGGACAAGTTAAGGAAATACCTATAAGTTGAAGTCTTAAGGAAAGACAAGTTAAGAAGAAAACCTTAAGTGTAAATCCTAAGAAGGATAAGATTGGGGAAAGAACCCTAGGTTATGAAATTCGAAGTGAGAAAGACTCTAAGTTCGGAAAATGAGTATAAGAATCAAAGTTAAGAGAAACTCTAAGTATTAGTTAGGAACACGGTGAGGTTGTGAGTTTTTCCTTGCGTTTGCTTAACTGTTTATGTGCTTTATCAATGTGTTTAAAGTGCTTTTGTTATCTTTTGAAAGTAAAGTAGAAAAGTTAAAAGTGGGAAGTTGAAAGAGAAAAACCAAGAGTTTCAAGTTGAAAGTGGAAAGCTAAGAAAGCTAGAAGTTATGAATCTTGAAAGTTTAGATGTAAAAGAGAAAAGTTTTGTGTAAGTGGCTAAGTAAAAGAGTTTTGCTGGTGCTTGCTTATGTTTTCTTGTTAAGCATTGTTTTAAGAATAGAGAAGCTAGTTAAGGGTGGTGAAATTCCATCGAGGCAGCTCCTTGAGAATGAGTTGTCTCCCAAGCACAAGTACACCTCTGGCTTGTCAATCCGAGGGGGAGTTAGGAAGAGGAAGAACTGGTCGGGTCAGAAGAAAGAAATCACCAGAAACAAGAGCAGTCAGCTATCCCTCGAACAACTAAAGAAGAATAGAGACTCCAAGGGGGAGTTTTCACCACGTGTTTAGACCCCGCGGCGCCAGTAGAGCTGGTGACCTGGACCTTTTATGTGGATGGTGCGCCAGTTATGGTATTGTTTGATTCCGGAACCACCAACTCGTTCATATCATCCTCCTTCGTAGATGAGCGAGGTTGGAAGCCTACCAGCAAGAAAGAAATGAGCATTCGCCTGGCATCTGGGAAGTTGATTATGTGCGAGGACGTCCTAGAGGAACTGACGGTAGAGATAGCGGGAGTAGCCTTCCCGGGGAACTTTATCAAGATTGAGTTGGAAGGCATGGACGCGATCCTCGGGATGGATTGGCTGAGCAGGCACAAAGCAAAGATTCTATGCGAAGAACGGAAAGTGATAATGAGAGGTCCGAGAGGGAAGTATGTATCCTACAAAGGGAAAACGGAGTCGCCGGTATTGAGAGTGGTATCTATGATGAAGATGAGGAAGTACGTGAACAAAGGGCATGAAGTGTACTTATGCACCCTGCAGGACCTGAATGCTAAAGATGAGGACCTAGGATAGATCGCCATAGTAAGGGAATTTCCAGACGTCTTCCCCAAAGAAATACCGGGATTACCTCCAGTGAGTGAAGTAGAGTTCTCAGTTGATTTACAGCTGGGTACCGCGCCCATCTCCAAAGTTCCCTACCGGATGACACCAGCAGAAATGGTCGAACTCAAGGGGCAGTTACAGGAATTACTGGAGAAAGGCTCTATTAGACCAAGTGTGTCACCTTGGGGAGCCCCAGTTTTATTTGTAAAGAAGAAAGATAGGAGCATGCAGCTGTGCATAGACTACCGGGAGTTGAATCAAGTCACGGTGAAGAACAGATACCCCTTGCCATGGATAGATGATTTGTTTGATCAATTAAAGGGAGCAGGAGTTTTCTCCAAGATAGACTTGAGATCAGGGTATCATCAGTTAAGAGTGGCAGATAAGGATATTTAAAAAACGGATTTTCGCACGAGATACGGGCATTATGAGTTCACCGTGATGCCGTTTGGCCTGACCAATGCGCCAGCCATCTTCATGCATTTGATGAATTGGGTATTTCGACCATACCTAGACGAGTTCGTGGTAGTATTCGTCCACGATATTTTGATCTATTCAAAGGATGTTGGCGATCATCAGAGGCATTTGAGGATAGTATTACAGGCGCTGAGAGACCACCAGCTATACGCTAAGTTATCAAAATGTGTGAATTTTGGGGGATAGTGTAGCCTTCTTGGGACATATCGTCACGAAAGCAGGAGTAACCGTAGACCCAACCAAGGTAAAGGCGGTGATGGAATGGCCAGTACCTAAGTCAGTCATAGAGGTGAGGAGTTTCTTGGGTTTTGCAGGTTACTACAGGAGATTTGTACAAGATTTCTCGATTTTAGCTAAACATTTAACCAATCTCACAAAGAAGGCAACCAAATATCTATGGACCGAAGAGTGTGAGGCGGAGTTCCAAGAGCTCAAGCGGAGATTGACCACGGCACTGGTCTTGACGTTTCCCTCAGGAGAGGAGGGGTTTGAAGTGTATAGCAACGCGTCTCATAAAGGACATGTATGTGTTTTGATGCAAAATGGGAATGTTATAGTGTACGCGTCGCGACAGTTGAAGATTCATGAGGTTAACTACCTTACACATGACTTAGAGCTAGCCGCAGTGGTATTTGCCTTAAAGATTTGGAGGCATTATTTATATGGGATGAGATGCAGGATTTACACTGATCGTAAAAGTTTAAAGTACATATTCACCCAGAAAGAATTGAACATGAGACAGCGACGGTGGTTAGAGTTGATTAAAGATTACGAATTAGAGATCCAATATCACGAGGGTAAGCAAATGTGGTAGCCGATGCCCTGAGTAGGAAATCTAGTCATTCTTTGGGAGGTGTTTGGATTGTGCCTGATGAGCTATGTAGAGAGTTTCAGCTGCTGAACCTAGAAGTAAAGAATAGTGGTGAAGTTAGCCAGGAGGTAGCGTTGTATACCTTGAGAATCACACTAAGTATCTTTGATGAGATAAGAGAGAATCAACCTGGGGATGTCAAGTTGGAGAGAGTGAAGGCAAAGATGATTGATGGAAGGTGTGGGCCTTTTGAGATTTATGCCGACGGGAGCATTAGGTACAAGAGACGCTGGTGTGTACCAATGAAATGTGAGGGGATTAAGAAGAAAATCATGGAAGAAGGGCATTGCACTCCTTACTCAGTACACCCCGGTGGGGACAAATTGTATGGAGATCTTAAGAAGCACTTCTGGTGGCCAAAAATGAAGAGAGAGATAGCCGAGTTCGTGCAAAGATGTCTAAATTGTTAAAAAGTTAAGGCCGAACGAAATAAACCTAAGGGTTTAGTGCAACCTCTAGAAATACCAGAAAAGAATTGGGACTCTATTTCTATGGATTTCGTGGGGGGGCTTACCTCTTACAAAGACCGGGAAGGATAAAATATGGGTGATTATTGATCGATTAACCAAGACAGCCAGATTTATAGCCATGAAGGAGACTTGGACAATGGAACAATTGGCCAGAGCTAACATTGAGAAAGTGGTTAAGTATCATGGGATATCCCGAGACATAGTATCCGACAGAGACTCCCGTTTCTTATCACAGTTTTGGAGGGCTTTGCAAGCTACCTTGGGCACCAGGCTTAAGTTGAGCACGACTTTTCACCCGGAGACCGATGGGTAGACTGAAAGGACTATACAGACACTGGAAGACATGCTTAGAGCTTGTATGATGCATTTTCATGGTTCTTGGGACGAGCACCTAGACCTGATTGAGTTTTCTTATAAAAACAATTACCATTCGAGTATCAAAATGACACCGTATGAGGCTCTTTACGGATAGAAGTATAGGAGTCCTTTGTGTTTGAAAGATGCGGTCGAGAGTGTAGTGCTAGGACCCCAGTACTTACAGGAAACAATGGAGAAGGTCAAGTTAATACGAGAAAGAATGAAAGCTGCCCAAGATAGACAGAGATCGTATGCCGATCAAGGGAGGAGGCCAGCCGAGTTCCAAGTGGGAGATAAGGTAATTTCCCAAACTTTGAACTTGTAATCAAGTAAATGCTAAGTATGTGAATCTTTAACCTTGTGTTGATGCTAGGTTTTGCTAAAAGTGTGTCCCACTAAGGGAGTGATGAGATTCGGAAGAAAAGGAAAGCTAAGTCCTCATTTTATCGGACTATATGACGTAGTAGAGAGGGTTGGGACGGTGGCTTACCGTTTAGCCTTGCCCATGGAGTTGGAAAAGGTAAAATGCTATTCCTCAAGTTGGATATGAAATTATGGTAACCTTTCTTAGAGTTTGAAATCAAGTGTAGGTGCACGACGTGTTCCACATCTCGTAACTTAAGAAGTACATCCCGGACAGTACTCACGTAATCCAACCCGAAGAAGTAGAGATGGATGAGTCTCTAACATATGAGGAAAAACTTGTTCGGATCCTCGATCATAAGACAAGGGATACGAGGAGGAAGAAGGTGAAGTTAGTAAAGGTCTTAGTATCCTTCTAAAAGTTTTCTTACCAAGTGAACCTTTTGTTTGTTCCAAGTTTCGGGACGAAACTTCTTTTAAGGGGGATAGGATGTGACAACCCAAAATTTATTTTATAAATCCGGGTTTAAGAAAATCCAAAATAGCCAATTTTCACTCCGTAAGAATTTTTACAAAAGAAAACAGTGTTGAATAAATTATTTTGAGCCATTTTAAATTTAATTCGACACAAAGAATGGATTTAATTCCAATATCCTAAAATTTAAGATACATCGCGTGCCAAGTATTGAACTAAAAATTCAATCTGAGTGAAACCGGGAGAAAACTGAGTAGCCAAAATCAAGTGTCTATCTATAAATCATTTTGAGAAATTAAATTTCAAACCCAGTCTACTTTTAAAATCCTAATTTTGGACCCGGGACCATGAAGCATGGTGAACCACACCACTCCAAGAGCTTGTCTGATGTAACTTTCTAGCCAACCCTTTACATTTTTGCCCTCCTCCAATCATGAGAGATCTTCCTAAGGTTTTGTGCTACTATATATTGAGCCATTCTCAGACTTTTGCCTTTTGATTCCACTCTTTGCTTCCCCAACCATTTTGCTCTGCAAAACACAAGTCACAGTAAGTTCTCCAAGCTCTAGCCCTCCATTTCTTAAGTTTCTTTCTACTCTATCTCAGAGAACTTGGTAGTAAGTGGTTGTGTGATTTGTTTGAATTGTTTAGGAGGTGAAGGAGGGTGTAGCTAGCTTGCAAAGAAGGTGGAATCCCAGCCAAGAGAAGAAGTCTACAAGGTATAGCCCATGGACTCCCAATTTTTTTTAAAGACTCTATGAAGTCTTTAGTGAGTAGAAATAAGTAGAAATGCTAAATATATGTCGTGTTTGAGCTATTAGATGATTTATCACTTGTCTATGATGTGTTGTTGATGCTTTGAATGAGGTAGAAATGCCTGAGTAATTTTTTTGCAGATGAGAAGAAGCTATCTGGTACACAGACAACGTGCACCAGTAGGCTCAACGGCCCTAGCCAACGGCCCACCAGGGGGACCGTTGGCTAGAACCGTGGCCATCCGGGCCTAGGCAGCGGCCATAGAAGGGGACTGTTGCCTAGAGCCGGCAGATTGGCGGTCTGAGGGGCGGCCCTAGTTGAGCCCCGCCCCTAGGCCAGTTGGTAGTTCTCTGTGCAGTGGCCGGGCCCTTGTGGCTCAGCTACATGTCTTTTCGGACGGGGTATTGAGGGCCCATGTGGCTCTCTACTTCGGGACCGTCTCGACGCACGTTTTGGCTTTGATTTCATTGAGTTTGGAGAAGAAATGAGCATTTTATGCTAAGATTTGTAAGCCTAATTGTTGCAGAGTTTGGTTAGAAGTAATTCACAGTGAATGTGTTTAAGTTATGTGACTTGAGTATTTTATTTGCAAAGCATGCCATTGTTTGATTGTTAAATAGAGAAGCAAGAGCTTAATTAGTTGAGTATAGCCATCAAAGCATGCCTAAATTGTATACTGTGAATTGATGAAGTTTACTGCCAAGTTTGTAAATTTTCAAGCATATCTATGTTGAGAGTATTTTGACTTTCAAAAGCATGTTAAATACTTGCTAAGTGTTAATGAGAAGAATTCTTGAGTTTCGAGTAGTAAGCATGAATTATTGAATTGTTGAGTTCACAATGAATAGAAGCTAGAAGCATTATTTTACAGTAAATGTCATTTGAAGCATATCATGTTTTAAAATGTGCATAAGTGGCTAATGTGAGGCTAAGTATTATTTTCTAAAGTCTCATATCCATGTAGAAATCCTTTATCTTATCATATTGAGATTGAGTTGAGAAGTTATGTGCATTGATGTATAAGAAGAGTATTTGCATGACTTGAGATGCATGAGTGATATATCTATATATATCTATTGTGAGGAAAATGGTATTTTTGGAGGATCCATTTGGACTATGTCCTTACGGAGTAAAAGAGAAAGCATCGTACATTGCGATCGTATATCATGTAACGCGGCATATTTCCACGTTACGAGGTTGGAAACTGTCCGCAAGGCTTGGAATCCTGGTCAGGGGGTGTGCACACTAATAGTTCGATACTTGATTCCACAGAGTATGAGTATTGGAACCACGAGATTGGTTCTGTGGGCGGGATGAGAGATTGGCCGGCTATACACCGTACCCAATGGGTGAATTCACACTATGGTGAAACCCAGCCTCGCCCACGAGTAAAGAGAAAGAAAGTGAGTCATTTAGACTCAAAGAAAAGAAAAGCAAAGCAAGTCATTTATGACAACAAGAAACCTCCATAGAAAAGTATTCTTTTTGAAAGAGCGTGAAATTATATTTATATATCTTGCACTAGATTGCATGAGTAGTAGCACGAGATTGCTTATATATATATATATATATATATATATATATATATATATATATATATATATATATATATATATATATATATATATATATATATATATATATATATATATATATATATGTTGTAACACCCCTAAATTTTAAAACTTTTAATGCTTATGAAATAAAGGCTATACTATCATTAAATCACAAACAGAGCATAACTAAACATAATTGTTGGGGTGCTATGCCACATCTGAGCTAGAGAACTCAAATGCACAGGATAAACTATCCAAACAGTAGAAATCCTCAAATCAATGTTAAGTACATCATCATGGCACGCAGGCCGATAAAAGAACTAAACTAACTAAGCCACGGGTCCAACTAGCGCACTCCGGAGCTACTCATCTGTGCCTGAAAGCCAAATATATCTGTTCAGCGAATAATGTTGGTAACCCACTCTAACTCATTAAATACAATATAGGTAGATATATATAAGGAAAACCATTTTGAAGCCGGAATACATATATACTTATGATAGTCTAATTTAAAACCGAGAATAAACTCAATCAAGCAAGGGTAAGCACATTCAACAGAATTAGTCACGCATATAAAGATACTAGCATGCACCCTAAGGTCAGAAGACTATTTCGTATCAATCATATCAGTATTCAATCACTATTTCCACACGTAAACACATTTGGTGGTGCCGCAGGACCAATCGCATGCCCATACATGAGGGTCAGCGCATATAGCTCTGACACGGCCCAGAAGCACCCTGCTTGTACCACAGTACAATGAGATTGATCGCAACCTATATATATATATATATATATATATATATATATATATATATATATATATATATATATATATATATATATATATAACAGCCGATGGTTCGCAACCCATCCAACTGCCTATATAGCCGACCGATCGCAACTGGCCGGATTAACAGCCGATGGTTCTCAACCCATCCAACTGCCTGTATAGCCAATTGATCGCAACCAATTGGGGTATCATGCACAATTAACACATTGTCAAGCACATGCAACCCACATTAACACATAAGGAGGGGGAAATCATGGGGGATAACTTATGCGTGGTCAACCACATTACTCGAGACACACCTAAGGGTTCATGCACCTTCCTCCTAGGCCAATGGGATACCAATTCGACTAGCATGCAATACACAAGACTCTTTTATCCTACGAATGGTACCCGATACATCGAACTTGACTCAGGCACGACAAACGGGGTCCAATAGGATGCCACGGGACACGGGGAAACATCAAACGGGGAAAAATGCCATGATCCACATCGGGATTCCAGCGGGTGGAGGGCCACCCGCCGGCGGCAAACTATGAGGCAGCGGGTAGATGGCGAGTACCCCTGCCCCCACCTACCCCCCACTGACTCTTATGTAATAACTCGGTCCCGGGATCCCTCGTGGAACCCGAAACCATGTCCA